TAAATTGAAATGCATGCCTTTTAGCATTACCCGAAAAATACCACGTGGAGGTCGTCATGCTGCATTTCTAATCGGGGAGTTTTGATTTTGGCAGTTCCCCTTGCCTACTGCCGATGGAAGTTTCAATTAAATTCTTTCCAAAAAACATTTTCTTCTGCAAAGCTCTAAGAAATTAACACTAAGCATTTAGAATTTCTTTGAAAACACAATTATAGATTTGGCATCTTGGAGAAATTACTGAAAGGCTGTCAAATGACTTAACTCTTGACAGGCCAACATAAAGTTGTCCATGACTAAAAACTTGTTTAGTCAATACTAAACTGATTTTCTCAAAAGTCTGACCTTGTGACTTATTTATAGTCCAGGAGAAGGCCAGCCTAATTAATTCCTAATTGAGTTTAAATTAAATATTGAGTATTGAGTATAGTAAAGTGCGGAGTGCTCTCTGCTTTCGCTTATAGCACCGCGTTTCAATAAATTAAATATTATCATGTTTTTAGGGCACGAATCTGAAATGAACAACCTGATAATGCTCACTCTGGTTATTGTTTCCATTTTTAAAAGCGCTATATGTTGAGCCATCTCATGTGACATTTGCCGTGTGACATTTTTAGCTGCAATCATTGGTCGATTTTCTAACGTTGCCATTCGGGGAGTTGTAATGAGGCTTTTTTTTGGTGCCGTGTAAGAGAAATATATATATATATAGATTTTATTTTTCAATACTCGAACTAAGCAACTGAAACCTTCAAAATCTGACATCAATTGACATTCTGCGTTTGTTCTTTCCATAATTGCTTATCGGCAACAATTGTTTATCGCTTGTTTCATTTGCGATAACGGATCGAAGTATTGTCGGTACGTTCCTATTTATTATTGATATACTCAAAATTTCCATATTTATTCCATATTTACTCAAAATTTTGTCTAAATTGCGATCACGTCAAATTGACGCATATCCTTAGAGATAGGTATACCACATAGAGAATTTCAATATTTCAACTCTTTTGAAGAAAATAGACTTCAATATATATTTACCTCGATCTCTGGATAAAAGTCATTACAAGAGATAAAATAAAAATTAAACAGGGATTTGTAATTTTCCTTATAAAACTCGAAATGCGTCAAAATGACGCGTCCCGTAAATTAAACAGGGATTTGTAATTTTCCTTATAAAACTCGAAATGCGTCAAAATGACGCGTCCCGTAAACCTAGTGTTAAATAATTTGCGCTGTCAACTTTTAAGAAACCATGTGGAAGCTTTCTGATGTAGGAGGGGATGGTGAACGCCTCGGGTGAGACCCCAGACACCCATATCATTACAAATAATCGAAAAGTTCTTTCCGGTAGAGTACGTATCCAAGCGTTGTGATCCCGATTACTATAATACATCAAGCCTACCATTAACTCAAAAATATGTGATAGACGAATAGAAAATAGGATTTTTCAAAAATGTGCGACTTTTTATAAAATGATGTAGAAGAAAGAAACATGTACATTAATATTTTATTTGCTTATTTATTCATTTATTTTATAATTTTTTAAAATTTTTATTTATTTTTTATTTATTTATTTATTATTATTATTTTGAAATCAGGGGTACAAATAAACGTAACTTAAACAGCAATTTACATAGCTTATCGAAACATATTTTATCAGTGACGCACTTAACATATATTTGATGAAGCACGTTGTTTTTGTATTAATTAAGGCAAGAGAAAAACAATCAAATTATAATTTAAAATGGGACAGTTATGGCAGAATGTTGAAAAATGATAATCTTAAAATTATTCGAGCTAAATAAACTCATTATGTTTTCTAAATTTAACCTTTATCAAGATTATAAATAAATTAAAAATAATAAAGTGAAATAGAAAAGGTGGAATGGCAATGTCGACAAAAAAAATATTTTTCTTCTCTGACGATAATTTAGAGGAAAACATTTTTAGCTGGTGTTCTGAAATTTTCAAGATAATTAACAAAGAAAACTCTAAGTAATTCTGTGAGATAAGTATGAATTTTCAGTGAGAAAATTAATTCTTGTAAAATTACTTTTCCACTTATTTATTTATTTTATTATTTATTTATTTTTTTTATTATTTTTTTATTATTTATTTATTTTTTCATTATTTTATTTATTTATTTTTTATTATTTTACTTACTATTTTTTGTTTTATTTAATTACTATTTATTTATTTTATTTTTATTTATTTATTTTTTTCTCGGCTAGACATACTGATTATCCAAAACTAGTTATGAGAAATTTCTCTCAAAAAAATTATTTTCATCCTGTAAGCAGCTGTAATTAAATCGATGCAAATTAAGGAATTAAAAAAATAGTGTCTGTGAAAAACAAAAATGTTAACAAATTCTTATGAATACCCTGTACCAATTGATAGATTTGTTTCTTCCTTTGTTAGAAGCAATCTCACGCATTTATGATACTTTAATGAAGGTAAANAAGTAGTTTCAGGGCAAGTTGTTGAAGGCTCCTGGGTATTGCCGGTGCTATGGCTTTTCTTCCTTCTCTTTTTCAGTCTTTTGGGAGAAGAAGCAGGGATATCAGGCTCCTTTTCTACGCGCTTGTCTGCCGTGAACTCGATTTGAGTATTTTCCAATTGTGGCTCACAGGAAGGAACTGTTACTGCAGACTCCGTAAGCGTTACTGTTTGTACTGTCTTTACAATTTCTATGGACATGGTCGTTTCCACGGGTTCCACAGGACAAAGTTCTTTCCTTTTCTTCCTTAAGGCATACCTGCCAACTTTTACGCATTTGGCGTAAAATTTTATTTTTGTATTTAAAGTGGTAGTAAATGTATACTATTTTTTCGTTTATAAACTAAATTTTTAAATGATTTTCATCACCACTATTCTTAAGAAAACTAAGCATATATATTAATATGTGTTACTATCATGGAAGGCAGCTTAAGCTTTTTCAAATACAACGTATTTTTTTGCTTAAAATTGAAATTTTTATTCCATTTTAATACCACTGGGAAAAATCATATTGGAAGGGATTAAAAGTTGGCAGGTATGGTAGTGTTAGAGTCATAGTTTGTTCATTAATCGTTTTATGTGTATTGAATGGCCTCAAATTACTTCCACTAACACATTAGTTGACTCTCTTAACACGTTGAATGAAATGGGGGTCACCGGTGATCTGCTTTGAGTTTGTTCGTAGCACCAAGGGTGTCACCGGTGACCGGCGATGCCAAGATTATTAAAAACACATAGTTCGAGTAAATTTTATATTATTATCGTTACTAATATGACTTGAAGAAAGTAATGCAATATAGAAACACAAAAATATTTTTTTGTTATATACACAGAGATGCCAATTTGCTCCGGACAGCAAAAAAATATTTTCAAGTGGTTGTTTATTAATTGTAATTCTTGGTTTAATAAATTTAATTTAGTGGATTTTTATCCACCAGTATTTCTAAACAATTCGTACCCTTATATAATTCTCCACTTTTTTATTTTATCTATGTCTTGCTAAACCTTTTAAAAAACTAGCAAATTCTGTCTAATATTTGAAAATTTAATTTGTTGTTATTTACCGTTTGGCCAGACGAGCAAGCCATGTAAAATTCAAGTGGCATTCAACGTGTTAACAAAATATATCCGTTACTTAACACATTGCTGACCGGCAACTTTTCAGAAAATTACCCCATGTGCCCCACTTTTTAAAATAGTCACCACTAGATCACTGCTAATATGATTGCTATGACTCGTGACCGGTCACCAACGATTGGTCACGAAAACACGAGTTAACTCGTGACCGGTCAGCGATGTGTTAAGCGTGAATGTAGTG